AAGGAACTAATCGTCTGCACGATCGTCTGTTGGCGACGTTGCTCCTCCCGTTTAGACTTTCAAATTAGAGTAATACATATACATATACACGTGGGTATACACGTTCGTGCTAATCGTCCAGTGAAACGCTCGCCACGAATGAAAACAACGAAACCAACCAACCAACTAACCAAAGGAAGAACCAACACTCGAAGATCGTAATTTCAATCATCTTCGAGTCGTCTTCTCGACGATTGTTCGTGTAACTCTCGTGGCCATTCGTACCTCGATCTGTCGTCGCAGCATTTCCTATTTCAAAGTTCACCGATTTCGAGGAAACAGAAGTAGTATACTGTAACTTTTCTCGTCGCTCGCTATTTGGGTTATCGGGGTGCGGCACAATTACCAGCCCCCCAGGGGCATCCAAGTACCAGGGCTCACCTATATTACTTCATGTACGGCGACACTTTGATTAAATTACCAAATGAACGAGTCGCGCGAAGGTATCATTTGCAGGTATCGCGGAGAACGGAAACCGACTGGCTGACACATTCGAATCGGTTTGTCGTGCTATTTGCTCGAGCAACTGCTGAGGAAATTCTCTGTTTGGTCAATGCGAAAATTCGAAGGAAATTGCTGGAGTTTCGAGGGATCTCGTTCACGTGGAATTGTGCTTCGTTAATCCTTCTGTCCGGCGAGAGGACACACGTTGCAGATAACATCTTTGAGAGGACCATAGATTAATTTCGGTAATCGGTAGAAAAGCGAAATTCGCCGAACGCGAGGGGCGAGAATTCTTTACCAAAGTTTCTAGGAGTTTATTTTATTAACACTTTTCGTTCCGCGCCGGGCAGATTTTTGGTCACTTTCCGTTTAGATCTACCGCTGTTACGATTAATAATTTTGCTTCTGGACAATTTTTGTAATAGTATTATAAAATACATTAAATAGTATTATATTGGTATAAATAGTATTATAATACTAAAAATAGTATTATATTAGTATAAATAGTATTATAATACTAAAAATAGTATCATAATAGTATAAGTAGTATTATAATACTAAAAATAATATTATAAAATACATTAAATAGTATTATAATATTAAAAAATAGTATCATATTAGTATAAGTAGTATTATAATACTAAAAATAGTATTATATTAGTATTATAGTTAAAATAGTATTATATTAGTATAGTATTATAGTTAAAATAGTATTATATTAGTAATTATATTAGTATAATATTATAAAATAGTATTATAATACTAAAAATAGTATCATATTAATATAAGTAGTATTACAATACTAAAAATAGTATTATATTAATATAATATTATAAAATAATATTACATTAGTATAAATAGTATTATAATACTAAAAATAGTATTATATAAGTATAAAATAGTATATAATACACAAAATAGTATTATACCATATAACGAGAATTATAATTATCAAAAAGTGTTTAGAATTTAAGACAAGCAATTACAGAACAAAGCAATAAATTTAATTTTAAGCTTACTTTAAGTTACTTTATCAAACAAACAACTTTTTAACGATGTCAAAATTAATTTAAAATGAAAGATTTTGTTCCAAATATTTTTAGTATTACTGTTCATGTACTCAACAATAATAAATAATATCGAATGATAGTAATTTATTGTATAAATTGTATAATACCATACTTAGAATCCTTGTTACATAAATTATATAATGCTGTACAATAATACTAAATACTAATCAATAATATTTACTTTACTTTTATAGCGTCTTCTTACCGAATTGAGTTAGAACAAACCTAAAAAATGATCGTCACACCGCGATATACGCGTTACTAAGATGTCAATGCACGACTTTATAACAAATTTTTCACAAATCCTTCCTTTTCACAATGAAAATTCCAAATGGCGAGACGTACATAAATACATACACATGACCCACGTGGCACGGAACGTGTTAACTTAATTTTAATAAGATTTCGATCGACGAAGCTTCTCTGGTGGCTCTCGAAACATCGTCGATCGTCTTTCGAGAAAGATTTCAGGACGAATCGTCAGCTGCAACTCGAAGCCCAAGCTTCGTCCTGTCTTCGCTTTTTCGCTTCCCTCCCTCGTAGTCCTTCCGACTACGAATCGGTAGTTACAGAGGGCGACGGGGGACGAGGGTTGCTTTTAAGGCTGGTGTTGATTAACGATTTTGTAGCTGCACGCGATACTCGAGGTCCGTTGACTTCGCCGCCGTTGCTGCGCTTTACACTTTGCACGATTGTACGACGAAACAGTCCGAAAGCAGGAGAGGCTCTCTAAGTTTCGAAAACGATCGTTTTACGATGGACTGACGCGTAGCATCGTCGACAAATAAAACGTGAAAAAGTGAGTGAGTGAGCGAGCGATCGGCGCTTGCATGCGGGTTGCATTGCTCGAAGGTTAGTGTTCACCAGTCTCGGGGACTTAACACAAAAGCACAAAATTTCCATTAGAGACGTTAAAGTAAAAGAAACGGAAAATCTTTGTGGCACGCGAGCAATTTTATTTGTATATTTTATATAAAGAGTCATTTAAATCTGTAATTGTATATTTTATATAAAAAGTCATTTAAATCTGTAATTGTATATATTATATATATTGTATATATTATAAAAGTCACTTAAATCTGTAATTGTGTATTTTATATAAAGAGTCATTTAAATCTGTAATTGTATATATAATATATATTGTATATATTGTATATATTATAAGAGTCACTTAAATCTGTAATTGTGTATTTTATATAAAGAGTCATTTAAATCTGTAATTGTCTATATAATATATATTGTATATATTGTATATATTATAAGAGTCACTTAAATTTGTAATTGTCTATTTTATATAAAGAGTCATTTAAATTTGTAATTGTATATAATATATATTATATATATTGTATATATTACAAGTGTCACTTAAATCTGTAATTGTATATTTTATATAAAGAGTCACTTAAATCTGTAATTGTATATTTTATAAAGAGTCATTTAAATCTGTAATTGTATATTTTATATAAAGAGTCATTTAAATCTGTAATTATATATTTTATAAAGAGTCATTTAAATCTGTAATTGTATATTTTGTATAAAGAGTCATTTAAATCTGTAATTATATATTTTATAAAGAGTCATTTAAATCTGTAGTTGTATATTTTATAAAGAGTCACTTAAATCTTTAAAAACACACTGTTTTATATCTATGAAATGTATAATAAAAACATTCAAATGGTCATTTTGTCCATTTTGGACAAAACAGTTCTACTGTTAACACAAATGACTAGTTCATAATTTTTGTTAGGTTACTTATATATTTTAACTATTTCTCTCATTCCTGACTTTTCATAACTCTAAAGGACATCATTTGTCACACGATTGAACCTCTCAGTCTCGATAGCTATCATATGACAAACAAAGAAAAAATAGCGTTCTACATAAAAAAATTGAAGTTAATGATCTCAATTTCGTGAAAAATATTGCAAACATGAAAAATTGTTACACACTATTGTGTGGGCGATGATTGATGTTATATATTCTAGTATATTCTATTATATAACTATTTCTCTCATTCCTGATCTTTCATAATTCTAAAGGACTTAATTCACCATTTGATTGAATTCGTCTTGATAGACGCTTTCATATATCAAACAAACAAAAAAAATAGCATTCTTTAAATTTCTAATTCTAAAAATTTCTAAAAATTAAAGCTTAAATTTCGTGAAAGGCATTGCAAGCATAAAAAAATTGTTATACACTGCTGTATTGGTTGGTCATTTGCCATTTCCGAAAAAAGCCGCTGAGCAAAAATAACGCGAATACCCAGTGTACTTTTAGAAAGTTAAATAATTCTTTATAAAATACATAAGTAAAAGTTCTTTCAGTGTATTCCATCGTAATTTCCAGCTTCTCTATTTCTTTTTCCACTTTGAATTCTTGCGCTGGAATGATGTGCCACGCACGTCGAGAATATTTGGCCCAAGTATGCAATATTTGCAATTATTTAAATACTTGGAATATTATTTAAATTTATCACTTCTTAGTAACTCGAAAAGAAGACGAATTATTGTATACGGCTTGGTCACTCGTTATGGTCCGTGAACCATAGTTACTAGCGCAAGAAGTTGACCTCTCCTGTTCACGAAAATTCTGTTCGTTGTTGAAAATTTTTCGGCAGTAGTCCCAGTGATAACGTTCGTTCTTATCCAGCAACTGGCTCCGTGAAACGATTCTCCAGGAATTCGCTCGTACCTGACGAGTTTCCCGAACGTCGTCGATTTTTCGATTTTCCGTCGGTTGGTTCTTGGAACGGCGAAATGGCGGTCGATCGATCGACCGTTGTGTTCGATTTTCTCGCGTGTCCCCCCGCCGTTTAGATTACCGCGGCTTCGCATGTCTTTGCACAGGCACGTGATGCGCGAGTGACGCGAGCGCGCGTAATTAATCGGGGGGAGGGGACCGGGTTCCGATCGAAACGGGAAAACTAATGGGAACAGAGAGACCGAGAAAGAAACGTAATCGAGTAGGTACGTAGGTACGTAGGACAGACTGGAACGAAGGGTTGGTATCGATCTTTGGACTACATCGGAAGCACGCGAGACGGACGGGGAGGTTGCACGCGACCACGTCCCCCGATTACGGTCAAGTGCGAATGTCATCGGTCGAGAGGTTCGCGTGGCAATGCAGCGCGACGTTTCGAAACACGTTTGTTTCCTCGATTCGTTTTCCACCTCTTACGCGATCGTATACTCCCAACTCGGCCAGCCGCTGATGCTAATTCGCCGATCGCTCACACGCCGAGGCGAGTTTTTTTAGCATACAATGCCGATTCGCGATGGGTCTAGCAGCGTGACTTTGCACGATCTGAAATTGAAACTGGAGCAACACGATAGTAGCGTACGCGTCTTTTGCCTTGTTCTTTCCCCCCATTCCCGGTTTTGAAAATTCTCGTCGTTGCCTCGTTCACCAGCGAGACATCTCGCGAAGTGCGAAAGGTTTACTTACCGGAGGCGAGCGTGCCCAACATCGGCGCCAACAACAACGGAAGCAGCCACATTTTTTGTTTCCACTCGCGATATTCACGATATTTTCCCCGAACTGATCGGATCGAAAGAATCGGCGACCTAAAGTGTTATCTACATTCTTCTTCGATCGGCACGAAGTATTCCACTTTGGACACGGACTAGATTATTCCGTTTCCGTTCGACTCGCGTTAACAAAATATTTTATTTTTTTTTTTTTCTTTCTCTTTGGTCGCGTCAGAGGAGAACTCGAACTCGAAGATCCCCTCGACGAACTAAAACTACGCGCATGTTGGCCGTTCCACAGTTCTCGGCTACGAGTTGATCGGCTATTCTAAACGACTGTCGACTGACGCAGTTGTGTTCTAATAAGCCGAAAAGAACGCGCCAACAGCTACAAACAGCTGTACGCTCAGGACGTTTCGTTTAGCAACGGCTGACCGCTCGACGTTGCTCGACACGGTACTCGCGCGATCGATGTCGTCGCCTCGAGTCGAACGAGCCGCCGCGTTGTCTCATTGCCGATCGAAACGAAACGAAAAATTCGGCGCGAACGGATGAACAAACGCACGTCCCTCCGGTTTTTCTTCACCGCGGTCCGCCGGTGAAACACGAACGAGCAAATCGTCCAGTCGGTCGATCGAAGGATCGTGTGGCCGCGTCGCGACGCCGTGCCGCACTAGGCATAACTGAGAGTGTTGCGTGGTTGTTGCCGCCGTTATCAGGTACGATTGGCGAGCGTACGGGGTGCGCTTGCGCGTACGCGTGCCCGGTATACGCACGTGCGCGCACCCCCCAAGGAATCGGGACAAACCGAGCGAGGCACGGTAGTATCCGCGCTCGGGGGAATAGGTGCGACCCTTCCTTCCCTGCCCAGTGTCCGTCCTTTCCCATATTTCCCCGTTCTAATTATTCCTTTCCGCAACACCCTCGCCACCCTCTGGCCTTTCACCTCGTTCTAACGTCGTTTATCTCGGTTTACCTTTCCAGATTTCCGTCGGCTCTGAATCTTTCGCGCCCTTTCTCTTTACTTCCTTCCTCGTCGTTCCAACGATACGAAATTGAACACACGAATGATTTTGTTTCTTTTAACCTCTTGCGCTGGAATCACGTGCCACGCACGTCGGGAATTTTTTTGTCCCAAAATTGCCAATATTTCCTCGGTTTCAAGTACATTTGAGTATAACGCAAGCAAAACAAATAGTAAATTTATTACTTCTCAGTTATATAATTTCTACCCAGTGATATACCGATGAGTTCAAAAAGAGAGCGACGAATTATTGTGTATTGGTTACTCGTTATGGTTCGCAATCAATTGCCAGCGCAAGTGGTTAACCTCTTGCCCAGTAGGTCGAGAATTTTTTGTCCCAAAATTACAATATTTCCTCAGTTTTAAGTACATTTGAGTATAACTCGGGCAAAACAAATAATAAATTTATTACTTATCAATAATTTCTATCCAATGATATCGTACTGACGAGTTCGAAAATGAAAGCAACGAATTATTGTGTACTGGTTACTCGTTATGGTCCGCAATTAGTTTCCAGCGCAAGTGGTCAACCTCTTGCACTGAAATGACGTGCGTCGAAATTTTTTGGTCCCAAAATTGCAATATTTCCTCGGTTTTAAATATATTTAAGCATAACTCAGGCAAAATAAATAATAAATTGATTACTCATCAATAATTTCTGTCCAGCAATATCATACCGACGAGTTCAAAAAGAGAGCGACGAATTATTGTGTACTGGTTACTCGTTATGGTCCGCAATCAGTTGCCAGCGCAAGTAGTTAACCTCAAAATTGCAATATTTTCTCAATTTTAAGTATATTTTAAGTATAACCCAGGCAAAACAAATAATAAATTTATTACTTATCAATAATTTCTATGCAGTGACATCATACCGTGTTTCGAGTTCAAAAAGATAGCGACGAATTATTGTGTACGGTTTGGTCACTCGTTACGGTCCGCAATCAGTTGCCAGCGCAAGTGGTTAAACAGTTTCTTTCCGACGTTTCGGCTAGCCGGAATGCGGCATCTCCCCTACGAAACGATAAACGCGGAACAGGGCGCGAGGGGTGCATTTCAATTGATCCGTCGCTATCGTCACCAGGGTTCGTTGACCAACATTATCGTACGTTATGTATACAGGGACGCGCACGCGATCCCTTCCACAAAAGGATACGCTGAGAGAATGTCCTTGAACGACGATCGTTTCCTACTTTAGTTGAAATCATTTGCCAACCCTTGCCTTTTCGCTCACGATCTACGACTCCACGAATTCCATGTAGATGTAATTTTCACCGACGGCGCAAATAACGAACGTTTATATGCCATTAGCAACAGGAGAATGAGAGTTGTCCAGCAATGAAAAAGAAATCGATCGATAAAGAAAGCTTCGTCTCGTTCATCGTTCGTCTGTCCAACTTATCTTCCTCATTCGTAGTTTTTTCAATTATCGAATTGAGGAACACAACTGCTCCGCCACGGTTTCTAGCTCGTTTAGTTTAGTTTAAATTACTCTTATATATATTAAGAGAATTGATGGTATAGAGGTCGACGATGCACGGGTCTCTTTCTCAGTTTATTTACAACCTTGAGATTCTATCCTGAAACTCTATTTCCAATTATTGCTCGCTTTGTTTACGCCAGGAACGGACGAAGCACCGTACATACATCGCATCGTGCATACCGATCGTATCTGTCATATTCGCCTTATTTTCCTTTCCTTTTTTGACATCGCGGGGTAAATACTGCGGCAGTAACCGCTAATTCTAATGAGCGAGTGGAACGTAACAACCAGCTGTGTTTCTATTTATCGTGCTATTCGTACGATAATATGAAATAGTATTACGGTAGAATGTAGAGCATTGGCATTATCTCGATGTGATTCAATACATATAGCGTTTTGCAATATCCGTCTATTCAATATCTAATTAGAAATTGTAATACAAATTACATGACTATATGAACGTTCTCGAAACGACTGAGTCAATTAATTTTATGTTGATACGTTGATACGTGAAGCGATCGGAAAACAGAGGAAAACGAGAAAATAGAAATGATGGAAAACTGGGTTACCTTTATTAAAAAACTCCAGCAACGTATTTCACGCCGTTCTCGCAATTTCATTCCATGCATTTTGAACGTGTATTCTTCCATCGAGAAATTCGTTCGTTTCCTTTTTTAATTTTTAAAATTTTATCGCTACGTTTCTCCATACTCCACTGCATGTTCGTACCACCATCTGTGCCAACGAACTACCATTAAAATTGTAACAACTTGGTCTGTGTCTGTACTGTTGACACAGTCGTGCCCTTCTGATCGGCAGAGTACATCGTTCTGTTGGAATAGAAATTTCAAATTTTTATTCGTTCGTTTCTCTTGTCAGAAACGGAGTATATGAGATTCATATACCTCATCTGTGCTTTTGTCAAGTAAAATATAGAAAAAAATACAAACATGAAAAGGAAGATGTAATTGCAAAAGTTTATAAATCGATCCTCTCAATTAATTCATTTTATAAGTGAAAATTTGATCACCTTATGGACACTGGTGGTGACCTCTACTTCCGCCAAGTCGTTCCCGCCAAAAACCTCATCTTTGATGAAAGTTTTCAATGAAAGTTCTCATCAAGGAAAATTCAAAAATGATTGGAACCTCTTTTCTCGCCATGGTCGTTTAAGAAAAAAGATCTTTTTCACATCTACCCGCCATGTGATAAACAATTAAGACTTTTTCGTGATCTGAGTAACGATATTTTCAATCCTTGTTTGTACACACACTTTGTATATATATTTTTGTAGTTAGTAATTGTAATCATTCTGTTAGTGTAATTTAAAAATTCAAACTAGGAAATACCGATTAGTTATTCAGAAAATATAACTGCGATGCCTCAAGAAAATACGGATTTGAAAGTAAGAATCTCTGCACAAGCACAAGAACTTCTACAACACTGAACCACTAGTACCGCGATGCGGCGAAACAATGAAACTAAAATTGCCGTTCTTATCGCACACTATTGCGCTTCTTGTCTGTATTTATTATGATGACAATTAAATTTATATCATAATACTACAAATATAAAACTTTAGTAACTTTTTATAAATTATAGCGAATGATATTTAAATAACAATAATATATTAGATAAAATTTATAGCACAAATATATAACTGTTTTCTCCGAATGTTAATTAAGGAATGAATAACAAATTATAAAACGGGTCTATATATACATCTCTATAAATAAGTAAACATGGTGATAACATCTTCATAGTAATAATAAAAACAAAATAAGAATTTATGTTATGAATATTCTTACGTTAGGAGTTTATATAGCAATGTCGGTTTACAGGAAACGTACTTTTCGGCGGAACGATTGTGTAGATGGCGTTGATGTTAATTTTGAAGAGGTAACGGTCGCTAGTACATGTCTGTAGTAATTATGATGATAAATAAATTAATATCACAATACTACAAATAAATAATAACTCCTTTAGTAGTTTATATAAAAATATTATCGATGTAACAAAATATATAATTACCAATGATAAATATCAAATAACGAAGATTAAATAATGAAAGTTAAATAACGAACGAATAATTAACATGATGATTGCAATATATATAAGTCTCTGTAATATTTCCAAGGTGATAATAAAATTATTAACAATTTTTAATTTCTATTGTTTATATTAAATACACATCTCGACGGAACGATTTAATGAACATAGATGTCGTTGATCTAAATTCTTCGAAGTAGGGGTCGCTACATGTCTACACAACAGTGCTGCCATCTAAGCATCTTTCAATTCTGCCTGGAACTAAAAAGACAAAAAGGAAAACCCCGGTAGATGGCAGCACATTGTAATGTCGATTTACAGAAATCGTACTTTTCGACAGGATGATTGTATAGATGGCGTTACTGTAGATTTTGGAGATGTAACGGTCGCTATAGTAGACAAAGACAGACAAAGGGCGCGAGATTCAATTTCTTAGCCCACATCGTTCTTGAACTTCATTGAAAAAATTGCGAATGTGTGTACGTGATTTTATTTCGTTCGACGAGTTTAGAAGCGTTTTATTTGCCAAATTGCGAAATGAAAGTTGCTTTATAGTAACTCTCGAGAGTAAATGTAACTTTAAGCGGAATTTAAGAAATTATTATTATTATCTGAGAAGGTGAATGAGATTGGCAGAAAATTCAATCGTTGTTGAACAGTTTGTTAAACTGTTATGCAGTAGCAATGCATTAATCGACAACGTAATCGTATCATGAACGAAGAATTACTGCAGTATAGAATTTATACTTGATTTTTGTCGATACAACTGCAGCTCATAGGAAATGGCAATTTTACAGGAAAATTTAGTTTCAAATAGCAATAACAGCATGTCGTGCAAGATGCAGATAAATTACGAATTGTATTTGTTTTCCAACCTTTTGTCGAACGACGACAAAGTCCAACTTCTAAAACTAACTAAATCTAAACGACAGGATTTATAGCAGCAAACGACGTTCTTTGTATCCTTGTTGCTCCCCCTGTAATGGTCAAGCGATAAAAAAAAATCTCGCGTGCAAATGTCGCACACGGGTTTCAACGGATTTTTAAAAATGACGCGTCGAGCCGTGCTCAAGTTTTTTAATCATAGTTATTATTATCGTTAATATCCATATAATTATCAATAACTACAGTAAAACACAAAACAAAAATGTGATATCTGTACATCTCTTTCTCTTAAGTAAATAGTAACATAAACTTTTTTTTTTTGTATACCAGTAGCCTATAATAGGAAGAAACTAAATCATAATATTCACAGATATTTTACAAGATAGATAAGACACGACATAGACACACGCGGCGCGAGAACTTGAATTTCCTATACATATAAAATGACGTGAGACAAAGCAAAAATATCGGAGAGAGAAAAAGAAAGAGAGAGAGTGAGAAAAAAAACGAGGAATGGACAAAAGGGAAAGGAAGAGACAAAGCGTGTGTGTATGTGCGTGCGTGAGAGAGAGAGAAGGAAAAAATGGAAAAAAACAAAGTGAACGAAAAACGCAGGTGAACTGGCATGAAAAAAAAAAAAATGAAACGAAATACCGCGACGTGAGCGTCTTGTTCGCGTCCTATTGTGTGTATGTATATACTTAATCATAGTTGTAATATATATGTTTTTTTTTTTTTCTTTAAACTCATCGCCTCGCTCGTTCACTTATACTTCTACACTGTACATATGCACAACGCATCTTTTACACTGTACATGCACACGCTCCACGAGTATCCGCGTTTTGCCTTAAATTAATCGCGTATCTTTTAGGGATCGTCAGAACATCGCGTATAAATAGCGTTGGACAATAGCGTATACACTTTGTAATCGTTCACATTGGCGAGCGGGTGACGGACAAGGGATCAAAGTTAAAACGTAACGCAATGCACACGGTAGTGTCTCATGGATGTACCAGCCATTCTTGGCGTCATACTCGGGTTTCAATGTTCGACGCGAGAGAGAGAAAGAGAGAGAAAAAAAAATGAACAAGTAAAAGCATCGATTCGCCCGATTAGTAATTACTAATTGCGCGAGTATTTCAAGGTGAAAGTCAAAAGAAGAAAAACAAAAAAAAAGGGGGGGGGAGGGACGGAGAGAATGAAATATGAGTAACTGCTCGCGCGCACAGAGTTATTATTAGTTTCTCAAACGGTTCGAAACGATGAGTGACATTTCAAGTCGGTCCAACGGTCACGGTCATCGTACATAAACGCATGTTTCGACCATCCCTAATTACATAAGATTATTCTCTAGAGAGGCATGCGCCCTACGCGCAGCAGCAATAATATCGTAAATAGGTAAGTTTCTTTATATTATTTAATAATGTATTTTTTTTTTCCTTCTCATCCACGATTCTGTGTGATATAATATAACTTCTGGTCTATACACGTAAGCGCATTATTATCCTCGATACGATCGCTAAAGAGTCTATGACACATCGCGCAAAAGGCGACAAAGGATAAGAGAGAAATGGGGGGATGGAAGTGTGTGTACGCAGAACAGGGCAACATCAATGGTCAATGAGATCGGTCATACTGTATTCTGTTTGTCCAATATGACATTACTTTTAAGCCCCATATGTTCTTTCTTCTTTTTTTTTTTCCCTTCAACGTGCTGATTGGTACGTTTCTAACTAGCCTGATGTAATAACGTTAATAATAATTGATAGCAGCGATAATAGTAGTAGTAGTAGTAGTAGTAGTGTAGCAATAGTAGTAGTAGTAGTAGTAATAGTAATAGTAGTAGTAGTGGTAGTAGTAGTAGTAGTGGGTAGTAGTAGTAGTGGTAGTAGTAGTAGTAGTAATAGTAGTAGTAGTAGTAGTAGTAGTAGTAGTAGTAGTAGAGTAGTGGTAATAATAATAGCAGTAATAGTGGTGATAATAGTATAGTAGTAATAGTAGTAGTAGCAATAGTGGTACTAGTAATTAATAATAAGTAATAATAATATAATAATGATGATATAATAATAATGATAGCCATACTAATGACGACGGTGATGACGATGCTGATGATGGTAGTGGTGGTGGTGGTGATGATAATGATGACGATGACGACGGCAATAACGATAAAGATGATGACGACGATAGCGACGATGACAATAGTAGTAATAATAATAATAATAAATCATAATTATAATGGTGACAATGATGATAAAATACTATTAATAATAATAGTCGTAGCAATAGTAAGAGTAATAATAATAATAATATAATAATAGCAATAATAATGATAATGACATTAATAATATTATTAATAATAATAATAATGACAATAGTAATAATAAAAGAATTGAAATAAGAATATTAAAAATTTTTTTATAATGTACATAGTGCTAAGGTGATAATAATGATAATAATATGATACATCCTGCTATGGGAAAATTATGTTACACTAGGGATTAACACTATTTTAGGTAGTTCTTTTCGCACTTCTCTTCACTAGAGGTCTAGGTCTAGGTCATAACGTTACTTTCTAATTCGACACGAGCGACAGCAGCAACAGCGGCAGCAGCAACTATTGTTACAGTTAATATAATACATAGGTATTTATATAGAGCAATATTATACAAAAAACACATCACATACCGCGCGGACCAGAATTCGGTCACCGTTTTATAATGTTTTTACTTTTTTTTTTGTTCTCATCGTCTTTACGTAGATATATATATATATCTCGTTAAATAATTAAAATCACAGTAGTTATGCCCTCGCTGGCTCGCTTATTAATTTATACAGTGTCATTAATACCTAAGCCTTACTTAAAATAGCTCGTGTATTATAGTGGTAGGGTACGTTAGTTTTTTTTCCATTTTTTTTTTTTTTTTTTTTTTATTTTTTTTTTTTTTTTTTT